TCATGTTTGTTATTATAATTATCATTATCATCATCATTATCATAATCATTATCATAATCATCATAACCATCATTATCAAAGATATTATAATTATTATTATTATGATCAACATCGCTATTATAATTATAACCATCATTTCCATTATTATCATCATCATCTTTACTATGGTCATAATCATAATCAACATTATTATCATTATCATAATTATCGTTATCATTATCGTTGTTAACTTCATCATCGTTATCATTTTTATTATCATCGTCATCACCATCATCATTAACGTCATCATCATTATTATCATTATCATTATTATCGCTATTTTAAATATTATCATTATTAACATCATTATCATAATCATCTTTACCATTATCATAATCATCATTAACATAATCATCATTATAATTTAAATGTTATCATTATCGTCATTGAAATTATAATTATTATCATCAACATCATAATCATCATTATCATCATAATCATCTTTACCATCATCATAATTATTATCAACATTGTCATTCTTATGATTACCATCGTTATCATCATTGATTTTAAAATAATCTTCATCATCATTATCAACATCATTATCATAAGAATTATTATTTTCCTTGTTACCATCATCATCATCCTCATCGTTATCATCATTAACGTCATAACTATCGTCATCCTTAACGTTATTAACAGGCTGATGATTACTATCATCATCGCTCTCATGGTTATTATTATAATTATCATTATCATCATCATTATCATCACCTTCTTTATCATCATCATCATTATTATTATCATCATTATCATCTTCATCATCATTATTATCATCGTCATCATCACCATCGTTACCATCATCATTATCATGATTATCATTATCATCGTTATCATCATCATCATTATCCTTATCATCAACTTCTTTATTATCATCATCGTTATCATTATAACCTACATTTCTATAACTAACATTACTACCATCATCATTATCACCATTATTATCCTTATTATCATCATCATCATCATCATTATCATCATCATCATCATTATTATTATCACCACCAATTTTACTACCGACATCATAACTATCATCATTATCATTTTTATTCTTATTATTATCTTCATCTTTACCATTATTTTTATAATTATCATTATTATTATCATCATTATCATAATTATTATCACTATCGTCATTATCATCATCATCATTATCATCTTCATTATCATTATCATCAACATCATCATCACCATCGTTACCATTATTATTATTATGATCATTATTATCATCATAATCATCATCATCATTATCCTTATCATTAACATCTTTATTATCATTATCATCATCATCATAACCTACATTTCTATAACAAACATTATTACCATCATCATCATCACCATTATTATCCTTATTATTATCATTATCATCATCAGTATCATTGTCATCATCACCATTATCATTATACGTATTTCTATTATTATTGATATCAACATTGTTACTATTATTATAACTGTTATTATTATCATAGTCATTATCTACATTACAAAAATTATTGTCGTCATCAAGATCATTACTAGTATTAGAATTATCATCATTCTCATCATTATTATTATTCTCATTATCAAAAATTATCATCATTATGAAAAATATCTTTTTTATCACCATTATCATGATGATCATCATCATCATTATTCAAATTATCATCATTCTTATTACTTTTATTATTTGCATCGTTCTTATTATCATAAATAGTATCTTTATTATTATCATAATCAATCTAATTATTATTAGTATTCTATTGTATAATTTTTATCATCATCTCCGTTATACACCTCCTCATTGTAGTTGCATCGACTCCTACTATACGTAGAGAGGCTGTAAAGATATACTACAAAAAGGGACCTGTATAGTATAATTATTATCAATATTATCTTCCATTTTACCATCATTATAAGCATAGTCTTGTCGGTCATAACCGTAATAATTCCCATCATGATTTTAATCATCATCGTCATCACCATTATCATCAACGTTCTTCTTATCATTGTCATTATTATAATTATCGCCATTTTGAATGTAATCGTTATTATAATGATTATTATAATTATCTTTACCATCATTATAATCATTATCAACATAATTATCATTATCATTTTTATTGTTATCATTATCGTAATTAAAATCGTCTCTATTATCATCAACATCATGATCATTATAATTATCATCATCATTCTTACCATCATTATAATTATTATCAACATCATCATTCTTATGATTATCATCGTCATCATCATTAACATCATTACTATCGTCATCCTTAAAGTTATCAACAGGCTCATGATTACCATCATCATCATCATCTTTGTCATTATTATCATCATCATCATCATCATCACCTTCTTTATCGTCATCATTATCATCATCGTCATAATCATCATCGTCATCATCGTTGTCATCGTCGATATAATCGCTATCATCATCGTTATCATCATCATCATCCTCATTATCATCATTATCATCTTCAACAGCAATATTATTATTATAATCATTATCATCATCATCATCATCATTATAATAAGCATCATTATTATCGTCATCATCATTGTCGTCATAATAAACATCATAATCCTTAATATCATTATGATTATTATTATTATCATCTTTAACATTATGATTATCATCGTTTTTAGTATCTCTATCATAAACATCATAATCATTATTATCAACATCATAATTATCATCTTTATTATTCTCTTTCTTATCATCATCATCATCATCATTGTCATTATTATCATAATCTTTATCATCATCAGCATCATTATTATTGTCATTATTATCTTTATCATTAGCGACATTATCATCATCATTATTGTTATCATCTGAGATATCAACAGAATGCTTGAAATCATCATTATTTTCGTCATCATCATTATTATCATCATCATCATAATCATCATCATCATCATCATTATTATCATCCTCATCATCATCATGATTAATTTCATCATCATCACGATCCTTATTTTTATAATTTTTATGATCATTTCATTATCATTATCCTAATTATTACCATTATCATCATTATCATTATCACTATCATTATAATCGTCTTCAATATCACCTCCATTACTACCACCAACATCATTACCATCATAATTATTATTTTTATTTTTATTGTTATCTTTATCTTCATTATTATTATCATCATAGTTATCATCATAATCATCATCATTATTATTATCAATATCGTTACCATTATCATGTTCATTATGATCATTATCATCATCATAATCATCATCATCATCATCATCATCATCATTAATATCATCATTATCACAACTATTATTACCAACATTATTACTTACATCATTATCATTTTTATCATTATTATTATCTTCATCTTAACCATTACTTTTATTATCATCATTATTATCATCATCATCTTCATTATCATCTTTATTGTCATCATTATCATTATTATGATCATCTTTGTCATCATTATCATCATTATTATTATCATCATCATCATTATCCTTATTATCAACATCTTTATTATCATCATCATCATCATCATCATCATTACCTTCATTTCGATAACTCACACTATTACCATCATCATCATCATCACCATTATTATCCTTATTATCATCATAATTATTATCAGTATTATTGTCATCAACACCATTATCATCATAAGTATTTCTATTATCATTGATATTAGCATTGTTACTATCATTATAAGTATTATTATCATCATAGTCATTATCTCCATTAAAAAAATCATGTCGTCATCAAGATCATTGCCAGTATTAGTATTATCATCATTATCATCATTATTTTTATTCTTATTGTAATAATTATAATAATTATAAAAAATATCTTTTTTATTACCATCATCATGATGATCATCATCATCATTATTAAAATTATTTTTATTCTCATCACTATTATTATTAGCATAGTTTTTATTTTTATAAAAAGTATTTTTATCATAATTATCATCATTTTAATGATAATTATCATTATTTTATATGATTATTATCATTATCTTCGTAATACACCTTCTCATCGTGGTTGCATCGACTATTACTTTGGGTAGAGAGTCTGTAAAGATATACTACAAAAATGGACCTGTAAAGTATAATCATCATCATTATTATTTTTCATTTTACTATCATTATCAACATGGTCCTGTCAGTCATAATCGTCATAATACCCATCTTCATTAATATTATCATCATAATTATTATCTTTATCAAAATCATTATTATTAATATTATCGTCACCATTATCATCTTCATCATTATCATTATTATCATTATTATCATCATCGTCATCATTATTATCATCATCATCATCATTACTTTTATTTCTATAACAAACATTGTAACCATTATCATCATCACCATTGTTATCCTTATTATCATCATTATTATCATTAGTATTATTGTCATCATCACCATTGTCTTCATATGTATTTTTATTATCATCGATATTAACATTGTTATTATCATTATAACTATCATTATTATCATAGTCATTATCTCTATTACAAAAATCATTGTCGTCATCAAGATCATTACCGGTATTAGTATTATCATTATTATCATCATTATTATTATTGTCATTATAATAATTTTGATAATTATGAAAAATTTTTTTTTTATTACCGTCATTATAATGATGATCATCATCATTATTAAAATTATTATCATTCTTATCACTATTATCATTAGCATCGTTTTTATTATAATTAGTGTCTATATTATTATAATCATCATTATAATTATTATTATTATTATTTTATATAATTCTTATCATTATCTTCGTTATACACCTCATCATCGTGGTTTCATCGACTCCTACTTTAGGTAAAGAGTCTGTTAAGATATACTACAAAAATGGACCTGTAAAGTATAATCATCATCATTATTATTTTACATTCTACCATTATTATTAGCACCGTTCTGTTGGTCGTAATCGTCATAATCCCCATCATCATTTTTATTATTTGTATCATTATCTTTAACATCATTATCATCATTATCATCATAACCGTCATTAATATTAAAACTATCATTATTATTATCATTTTAATTACCATTAATTGAAGTTCTATTATTGTCATTTTTTACACGATATTCTTTTTATCATCATTAGTTTAATCATTATTAATGTTATCATCATTATCATCATTATTATTACTATCATAATTATAATTACGATTATGATCATCATCATTTACATCTTTTTCTTTCATTATGATCATTATCATTATTATTTTTATCGTCATTATTACGATAATTATAATTGTTATTAATATAATTATCATCATCATTATTATCATTATTATAATTATTATCATTATTATCATAAACTTCAATACTGTCACACACATTATGCCTATCATCGTCATTATTAATATAAGAATCATCATCATCATTATCATTATTGTCATAATCTGCATCGTCATTATCGATGCCATCATGATTATAATCACCATCACCATCGTCATCATCATCATCCTCATTATTATCATTATTATCTTTATCGGCAACATTATCATTAGGATCATTTCTATTTTTATCATCATTATCATAAGCAACATCATTTTTGTCATCATCATCTTCATCATTATTAACATCATAGTCATCATTATTATTATTATCATCAGTATCATCATCATAATCATTATCATCATCATTATCATTCTCACCATTATCGTTATAATGATCATCGTCATAATCATCATCATCATTATCATTGTCATTATCATCATTATCATCATCATCGTAATCATTATTATTATTTTCATTATCATCATAATCATTTTTATCATTATCATCATTATCATCATCATTATTATTATCATTGTTATTATCATTATTATCGTAATCATTATATTCGTAATCAATATAATCGTCACTATTATTATCATCATCACCATTATGATCTTTTTCATCATTATTCTGCTTTTTATCATCATTATTATNATCATCATTATTTTTATCATTATTATCATTATCATAATTATCATTATCATTATCATTAGTATTATCATCATTCTAATCATCATCATGATCATTATTAATATTATCATCATCATGATTGTCACCATCATAAACATCATCATCATTATCATCATCATCATCATCATCATCATCATCATCAATATCATTATCATCATTATTATCATTATCATCAAGATTATTACCATCATCATTATCATTTTTATTATTAACATTATCATCATCATCACTTTTAATTGGTTCAGCGTATTTTGTGCGAGATTTGGGTTCATCGTTCTGCAATGCTAAAATAGCACTTTTAGGATCTATGTATGTTACATATCCCTTGGATAATCTTCCTCGCCGATTTCCAACAGCATAACAATATTTCAGGGTGCTAAATTGAGACAAATGATCAAAGAAATCTCTTTCCTTCACCGTTTCCTCTATATCCCATGGTAGAAGACACATAAGTCTTTTCTGAATTAATGATTGGTGTTTCATTGTCGTTTTTTGATAGTGTTGGTTAAGAGATTTTTTCTGCTTGACAAATAGTGGATTTTATCTTAAAAGGAGAAAAGGTTTGAACTTTTTCTCCTGTATTTAGTGTTTCATCAGTTACTGTAGTAAATGTATTACTGTTGTGTTTGTCGTTTATAGTTCGATGTTTATAACTATGTTTATTCGTAAGTATGTGCATTTTCTTAATACTTTCTTTATTTTCTAATCGTTCGATAACTTTATGTAAAGGTTGGTTTATGTTGACTCTAGTCTTTATTGTTACTTCATGTTCGGGGTTCATTGTTCTACCTGGAAGGAAAATAGTGTTAAATTACTATTGATTAGAAGTCCATTTCCAGTTTTTGGGGTGTATGGCGTGGGAGTATTAAACTCTGTATCTTCATAATAGGTCTAGCTTTAGATGATTTAGGTATTTTCTGTTTTTCTTCAATTTTAACATACAGTTCAGTTGGTTCGTGTTTATTTGGTTCTTATTTTATAGTTACTCGGGATTCTGCGTTCAGTGGGTTATGGTACGTTTTATAAATTTTTCTGAGACACTACGTTTTATAATATTCTTAAAACAGTTTTTTGCTTTGCTGATGAGTATTGCTATGATAATCATAATAATCATAGCTTCAATGACATTCGGTGTTCAAGAAAAAAGAGAAGTTTGTTTTTCCTTCAATTTTCGGGTCCGTATTTTTTCCATTTAATTTATTATATTTTGTACATTTAAATCTTCATCTGTCCATGCTTGTCCTTTGAAGTTTGATTTTAGAATTGATTTTATAGCGTCATGGAAGTCATCAGTGTCTTTTAAGCGTTCATGTAGTACTGTTGAGTTTAAGTTCACTTCTACCAGATAGATATATTGTATTTGAGTGATAATCTTATGTTCACTGGTTAAGATTAATCTGTGAGTTTTTCTTGTACATTTATCATTCATTCGTAGAAGACCTATACCTTTTACTCTTTATTGTTGATCCATTTTATTCGGACAGATAATGTTCAATTGTTCTTCATAAAGTGTTAAGAATAACCTTGAACTATAATATATAAGCTGGTAAATAAATCCATTGGCTTTCGGTTTTTGGCATTAACATAATTTCAGAGTATTTAAATACTTCTGGTCCAGGTCGTAATAACATAAAAATTTTACATTCGTTCATAGAATAGGGTTCCTTCGGCGGTTCCATAGTCGAGCATATGTAACCATATACCGTCTTATCACATTGGTTAAATGTAACTTCGTTTAGTCGTAAATACGAATTATGGTCTGCTGCTACTGCTAAGTGAAGATACGACGGTTTTATGTAGGCAGATCCATTTTGCCCAGATTGGAGTATCATGACTGGATGTAGTCTATAAAGATTGTAAGGGGTTCGATCTACGAGTGGCAAATGTAACATTACCATGGTTCTATTTTCTTGATGTACATCATCTAATTTGCCTAGGGTACTTATTTTGCCAGCATAAAGATTTTCTATTGGTGCTACAAATTCTAGATTTCCCGCAAGGTATTTTACATCCCGGGCTACAGTTCTGAATATATTTAGAGAAAATAGCATTAGATGTGCTTGACCTCTTTGTAAATCATACAAGATGTCAATCAGATCTTCATGGAAACGAATAATGTAATCTAGGGTAGCCTCAGTTGTTTTAAGGTATGCTGACAAATAAATCAGATATCTGTCAAGAGTAAAATCCTGTCCTGAAGTCAATATATCGGCAAGTTGTTTTAAAATATGCTCATGGCGATTCGTGGTATTGTATAGTTCTTTGAATGCGGTTGCAAAAATATGGCTATTTTTTTCATACAATTTAATATATTCTTTTTAATTGGTATACAAATTGTTGATGTTAGTGTTTATAACGTTAATATGATCTTCTATGACTAAGCCGTGAAGTCCTTTAACAATGCTCCCAATAATTCAAAAAGGTGTCAGTCTTTTCGCTTGTATGCTGGGGGGTGGAATAATGTTATCTCCCGCATGGATTCCCACAGTATTTATTAAGTTTAATAGTGTTGCTTTGAGGTTTGTCAATCGCTTTATTTTTAAATTCAACAGGTCCATTTTCATATAGTCAGTGCAATTAGAATAACCAAACTGTACAATACAATATCGAAAAGTTTCGTTTAATCCTTGAGTAGATGTTTGTTTCAATATAAATTTATTAACATCCAGCCATATCACAATCTTCCAATCGGGTCTCTTAATTTTTGTTAAACCGATTCGTTCGGAGTATATTCCAGTGTTTGTTTCAAGTGGTTCTATGCTATAGTTGCCATGATTAGCATAGTTTAAATCTGCGCGACCTTTGAACGCTATTGTCATTAAGATGGCTAATGTATTCTGCATGGTTGTGTGTTTTTTTCTTTCTGGAAGACATGTAGAATATGTTTCTTACAAGATATCATTATCGGAGAACTAGTTTTAATTTATCTGTATGTTTGCGTATGGTTTCACCATTGGTTTTTTCAAGCAACACATTATTTCCCTCTAAAACTGTTCTTACCTTTAGGGGTTCATTATAAAAGCGATTAAATTTATGGGAACGCACTTCTTTTTTAACCCAAATGTAATCTCCTGGTTTAACATTTAGAGGCAAGATAATTTTTTATTATATCTTGTTTTTGCTTGTACTTTTATCTTTATTTGTTGATTTCCTGCCACAATTTGCATTTCTTAAAGTCGCCTTATAAGATCTTGTAAATATAATGGGTATGTTCGTAATCTTTCATCTTTAGGTATCTTCAAGGGCAACCTTGCTACTCTCCCAAATACTAGTTCATAAGGCGAAAAATTTGTAGCTGCATGTACACTCGTATTATACGTGAAAGCTGCAAATTTTGCTAAGTTGTCCCAGTCATTATATGTTTCAGAGTAAGTTCGTATAAAGTCAGATAGGGCATCATGACTTCGCTCTATCGATCCGTTTGTTTAAGGGTGGTATGCTGATGTAGTTAGATAATTGGTTTTAAGGGTTCTCATGAGTTGTTCCAATAAATAAGACATAAATGCAGCATGTCTATCTGATAGAATTACTCTAGGCGCACCATAAACTAATATTAGATTTTGTACGAGTGCATTGACAAGAGTAATTGATCTTAGGTCTGGTACAGGCACTAATATAATATATTTAGTCAAATTACACTGTATCGTCAGCAAATGGCAATTACCTTTTGGTGTTATTCTTAATTTGCCAACGGTATCGATGGAAACCTTATCAAAAGCTTCAATAGGTGTATCTGTAAGTACCAAGGGTTCTCTTGTTTTTAGTCGTTCATTTTTTTTATCTTGATACTTGCTGCATTTACGTACATAATTAAGACTATTATTTCTCGTTCCGGGCCAATAAAACCGTTCTCTTATTTTTCGGTAAATTTGGTTTATTCCCTTCTGTTGTCCAA